TCGATATTTCGTCAAATTGCCGCCATTTTAATGGCTCGCAGCTTCTCTGCCCGATAAATGCCACTTCTTCGTCTTCCTATGTGTTTAGACTACAGTATCCAAGAGAACTTCGTTGTAGAATAGTCCCAATCGAACAAGGGAAAACATTTGTTGGGTTTTGATGGCAAAACCCTCCAGGTGATTATTTAGGTTCAAAATAAAATACAAAGCCTAAGTTCTTTGAATGTTTGCATGGCGATAAAATATAATTGTTTTTGTTTGTGGAAACACCATGTAAATTTATTACTGCAAAGCTTTCGATCCGTTAGCCCGGATCTTCATCAGTGCTAACACAGAGATATACAGAGGCGGAACTCGCGGCGATTCCTTTGTTCTTTGTGTCCCCGTGCAACGTCATTTCCACGCGCCACGCAAATTGCTCTGGCAAGTGTCATTCGTCGTGTTTTCAGTCAAAAGCATAGGAAAAACACCGTTCGAAAGTAGAAAAATAAGTATTTTTGCGAAGTTGCTCTACCGAACTTCATTTTGGGATTCAAATTTGAATTATAAATGGTAAGTAGTAAATTATATTACTGTTCCTCAGTTTGGGCATCAACATCTGAAACGAATATTGGAAAGCTTCAGTGTGTTCAAAATTTCGCTGCTAGAATAATAACTGGAACGAAAAAGTTTGAACATATTTACCTCCATTTTAAAAGACCTGAAGTGGCTGCCGGTTGCAATGGAACTTTATATTAGGGATGCTATCATGACATTTAAATATGTAAATGACCTTGCGCCATCTTATCTGTGTGGAAAATTGAATAAAAGACAACAAATAAGTGGTCGTATAACCAGATAATCAAATGACTTTCAGATACCCAAATGCAGAACTGCAACAGGGCAGAAGTCTTTTGAGTATCGCTCTGTATCTATTTGGAATTTGCTCAGCCCAACTGCCAAACAGTTGTCCTCAATTGAACATTTTACACATTATCTTAAGAAACATTTTCTTAATATATTTTTAAAAAGTACCTAGATTGTAATCTTTCCTTTTAACTATTGCATGTATAACTTTACTGAATTCCGACGTACATCATCTGAGAAAATTAGAGAGATAGTACTAAGTTTTCCGAATAAGTCTTGCGCTAGTGATCCCATCCCTACTGATATGGTTAAGGACTGCATAGATGATTTGTTGCCAGTTATCTCTAATATGGTAAATTCTTCCCTTGTGGATGGTTATTTTCCCGACATCTGGAAAGAAGCTAGTGAAACCTAAGCTTAAAAAATCGAACATGGACTTGATAAAAAAGAACTATCGTCCAGTGAGCAACCTTGCGTTTCTGTCTAAGGTGACTGAAAGAATTGCTGCTAAGCAAATGTGCAGTCACCTATCCATCAATCATTTGTTTCCTGAATTTCAGTCCGCTTATCAGTAATTCAGTATTCAGTAACTTTCACAGCACTGAAACACCATTGTTGCGCACGCGCAATGATATTCTTATAAACATGAATAAACAACATGTCACTCTGTTGGTCTTCCTGGACCTCAGCGTTGCATTTGATACGGTGGACCATGACATATTGTTGGGGCGTCTTAAATATAAGTTTGGGATTTGTAATAATGCGCTTGCTTGGTTTCGATCATATTTAGTGAACAGATCCCATCGTGTAGTTATAGAAAACGTAATGTCGGACAGTTTTGATATGAAGTATGGTGTGCCTCAAGGGTCTTGTTTAGGCCCATTGTTGTTTATCCTGTACACAAGCAAACTGTTCGATGTCATCTACCATCATTTGCCCACCGTGCATTGCTTTGCTGACGATACGGAGTTATATCTCGCATTTAACCCAAGTAGCGATAATGCTCAGGATGCTGCCATCTTAGCTATGGAGAATTGCCTACGAGACATCCGGAACTGGATGATTACTGATAGGTTGATGATAAATGATGAAAAAATGAAATTTATGTTGATTGGAACAAAAGCTAAGCTCGGTAAAGTCAAGAACATTACTCTAACTATTGGTGAATCTGTGATTTCACCATCTGAAGAACCTATCAGGAACTTGGGCGCTTGGTTTGACCGTACCTTCAACTTGAATCACCATATCAATAAGACCTGTAGAAGTGCTTTTTATCATCTGCATAATATAAGAAGAATTCGCAAGTATTTAAGCAGAGAATCAACAGAGAAACTTGTTCATGCTTTCGTTACCAGTCACCTAGACTATTGCAATGGACTGTTATATGGACTTCCCAACAATGCTATAGCCAAACTACAACGTGTTCAGAATGCTGCCGCAAGGATTCTCTACCGTGCAACACGGTTTAGCCATATTATTCCGCTGTTGTATGAGTTACACTGGTTGTCACTCAAATGTCGAATTGAATATAAGATAATTACACTTACGTTTAAGGCAATTCATGGAACTGCCCCTAATTATATAACTGAACTTATAACTTTTAAAACAAACTCTTCTTATAGTTTAAGATCAAATAACAAACTTCTTTTATGTCCGCCAAATTTTAAGACATTGTCTACTCTTGGTGACAGAGCCTTTATGGCTGCTGCACCAAAACTATGGAATGTATTGCCATTGAATCTTAGGAGTATCTCTGATTTTAATATTTTTAAGCAAGATCTTAAGACATATCTTTTTAAAGAGGCTTTTTATTAGCTCAGTTCTTAGATTAAATTTGTAATATTAGTTCAACGTAAATCAATTGTCCTATCCATTGTTGTAACGCGCATTTGAAAACTGCATTGTTGAATTTGCGCGATATAAATTAATAAATGTTATGTTATGTTATGTTGTCGTCTGATGGATGAATAAACATAGCTGAAATATATTGTAGATGGAAATTATCGAGTAGAAATTTATATCCATTTATTAGACCTGACCAGGAACAGCTACGAATTATGCAACTTTAGGTCCCTGGCAAGAATCGAATCTGCGGTGCAACGCTCTAATCATCTGAGCTATACATGCAGAACCAGTTGTCGACGTCTGTACCACAAGTTCGTGTATATATACCCTCGTATACTGCCATGTTAGATTATGTGTAAATATAAAGATTTTGTTGGCGTATCACTCATTTGAATAATAGTTGAAGGATATTGTAGATGGAAATTATCAAGTGCAAATTTTTATAAATTTATTAGACCTGACCATAAATGTATATAAATTTCCACTCGATAATTTACATCTACAATATCCTTCAACATTACTCAAACGAGTGAGATGCCATCAAAATCTTGATATTTACCCATAACCTTACATGGCAGCACCCTCGTATATATACATGAACTTGTGGTTAGAGCTCGACAACTGTCTTCTCAGTGTAGCTCAGTTGGTTACAGCGCTGCACCGGAATTGCAGGGCCGCAGGTTCAATTCCGGCCAGGGACTAAAGTTGCATTTTTCGTAGCTGTTCCAGGTCAGGTCTAATAAATGGATATAAATTTACACTCGATAATTTCCATGTACAATATGAAGGCTTCAACTGTTATTTAAACGAGTGCGATGCCAACAAAATCTTGTTATAATATAGCATTTGTAAATTCTGAACGCTGATTGGCTAAGAGCCGTGTTGATACAACTCAACGTCAACACGGGAAATTTCCCGCCGCTTGTAAACACGGGAATTTTTCTTATCCTTCAGGCTTTTGACATTGCTACATTATAAAAAAAATATAAAACATTTTTTCCGTGTTGATATATAGTTATATCAACACTCGTGGAAGTTGGGAAAATTTCCATACAATTTCTCGTTTTCCCAATTCCACTCGTGTTGATATAACTATGTATCAACACGGAAAATGTTTTATATTTGTTAAATATAAATAAACACAAACTATCGTTTAAACCGCAAACACTTTATTGCATTGGCCAAACTATAACATAAGTGAAATATTTGTTTGTTTTCAGCAATGTATTGATACAAACATGTCCTTGTTAATCGACCTTGACAGCACCATAGATCTTGCGGACGAAGAAAAGCAAGCGAAGAATCCGATAGTTCCCGCCAAATTAAATATGAAATTTATTCAAACATTCAATTGTTGTCAGGCCGATTTACATGCACTTAATGATATTTGTATAGGTTAATTTGAGGCAACGAGGGGCTATGTGATTTTTTCGCCGAGGCGCGCAGCGCCGTGGTGAATAAACACATATCCCCGAGGTGCCTCAAAATAACGTACTTATTTTTCGCATTGCGAGGTCGCGTTAATGAGTCAGAACAGAAATAATTCTTAATGCCATATTGCCTTCGTTATGTCGTTTTTTCTCATTTTTTTGCTGCAAAGACATTGCAGGTTAATATTAGAGGGGATTATTAAACGGAAATTTATTACAGGGGAATATTGAATATATTTCCCGAGGAATATTGAATATATTCCCCGATAAGAACAAAGGAAACCGAGCAGGGTGAAAAATAAGTGATATTGTTATATAGCTAGGGGAAAAGTCAATCCGTGATTGGTTGATTTGTGGTCACATGACCCTAATTAAATGGAATGTTTCCTTCAGGGCAATAAGTAAACAATTATTGCCCTACCGAAAACAAAATGGCGGCTTTGAACTTGCAAGTTTATAAATGTTTTCTCAAGTTTATTTGAAGACTACAGAATCGAAAGAGACGAAAAATACACAGCAGGCAACAGGATATGCTGTGGAAATACTTTAGGCATGTTTTTAAATTTTAATATTGCTTACTTTGTATTGTTTTTATCACAAAATACAATTGTTGTATGAATATATATATTTTTTTATTTCGTCGCTATATAACAAAACACTTAATGTCTGTTCTCTCGGGAAATAGTTAGTTTTGTTTTCCCTCGAAACTCAATGTTTCCCTCGACTTCGTCTCGGGAAACATTGTGTCTCTCGGGAAAACAAAACTAACTATTTCCCTCGCGAGCAGACATTAAGTGTATAATATACCCGGGACAAATTTTTAAAATTTTTTATTGCCTGTAGAAGTCTTTTTTTAAATATTTTAAATAAAAAATTTATATTGATATATATACCAAGAATGATTCCCAAAACCTATTCATATATATATATATATATATATATATATATATATATATATATATATATATATATATATATATATATATATATATATATATCCGTGGCTTAGCGTAATGTCCATGCATTGAAATTATAACAATAGGCTAATTTCTAAAGGTCTTCTTTTTTTATACACTCTGTATCACAGAATAAAGATCAGTAACAGAAGGGCCACTCAGCGGTGCAACGTGTCCTCGTTTTTTTATGCAAAAATATGCAGTTTACTGGCCAGAAGGCGGAGCAACCAGCCAGTACAGCGTGTTTATTGGCCAGAAAATGTCATTGACTGGCTAGGAAAATGGCGGCCAACATGCGTAATGCGACATGCGCGAGGACAGAAACTTCAAAGCTTCCGACGTAAGTGGCCCTTCTATATGGATCTTTATTCTATGATTC